ATTTTAAATGACCTTTTAAGTTATGAGTAATGTATTTTTAACTTGAACTACCTTATCTTTTAACATAAATAATCCAATATATGTGAAGTAAGTTAGCTAAAGGTCATAACTACGTCAAATTAATATAAGTCAGGTTAAACCCTAGTATTTACATATATTAGTTGGAATTTTATATTTTTTAACTAATATTATTGAACTTGATGATTAATTTATATTTTAATCATTTATTATTTACTATTTATATTTTGATTCAAAAAATAATAACTTTATTAAAAACAACAAAAACAAATATGACTATTACAATAAATCATCTACTTCATAGGTAGAATCATCTCATGTATCAATGTCATAGAAGGGATGGGTACATAGACTACATTAATGTCATATTCTTCCTCCTTTTCATCATAGAAAATTGGTTTAAACTAAGTTTTCTTAGCGGTTGATTCGCCTTGGTGTTTTAGCTCAGTAGTGTCTCAATCTCCATATCTTGTCTCTTGATATTAATTATAATGTCCCTAATTTCAGAATAAAATTTTCATTTTTAAAAGATAGTATTTCATCTAAAACATTCATTCATTCATAAGGAAACCATATTTTGATAATTAAAACCTAATATCCAAATCAAAGTATAAAATAAAACATGCAGAAATATCAAAACATAGTTTCGATGTGTGTGCATAGTCAAGTATTGTCTTTCACATGATTTGAAGATGTACCTGAAAAACATTAAGCTCAGTGACTTCCCCATTATACCACATACCAAAATACACATACAATTCATGCAAACAAAGGCTATCGGCTCTGGTGTCGATCCACATACAAACAAGTCGCTCGACTTTCGTGTTGATACGACCGACCACAACTAACGGCTCTCATGCACATCTACTCACGACTAACAACTCTAGTGCATGTATAGTCATACTAACAATTAATGGCTCTTGTGCGCATCTAACCCTGAATACGAGTAATCTAGGATCTCGGATCTCGTGTCGAGCCACCGTCAACTCCCCAAACATAACATATCAACATATCATACTATCTAACAATCAAACAATCAACAAGCAATTTTATACATACATATATATACATATCATACTTCATTTATACTTTTAATTTCAGAAACCTTCTTAAACTATTATGTTGTACACACACACAATTTTATACATACATATATATATATATATATATATATATATATATATATATATATATATATATATATATATTAGGGTATGCATGATTCAAACATATTCTTGGGTTTACACACGCACCCAACACACACCAAGCACACACATAACCCTAAACTGGAGCTTATTTCTTGTTTTAAACACCCGCACCTAACCCAAATTGAAAGACGGCTATGCTTTGACAGTAAAAACTTAGTTAAAAATCAGATTTCACAGACCAAAAGTATTCGCAAAGTATAGCTCTTCGGTTTGTGAGTTTCCAGGACAAAATCAAGTAAAAAGATGTTGTTTCTTGGCTCAAGGCATCAATACAAGGCCAAACGATTTAAGGGTGTTGAATACAAGTCTTAGCAATACCTAACATGTATACGCTCAAAAAAAAAAACAAAGCCATTTTTTACAAAAATCCTGTAAATTGTGTTTTTCCGACGGTTAGAGAGTCGTCGGGGGTATCTCCGGCCTCCACAATAGTGGGGAAGTCCAAAGGTGTTACTAGGGACGGAGTGAAGCTTAAACATACCTTGGGGTGATTTGGTTTGAGCTCTACGATCGACTCTTCCTAACGAAAACCTAATCCGATAACCACACTTTCACTCATGTTTTCTTCCTATCGGGGTTGTAGGATAGAGTGGAGATGGCTGTTATCAGGGCTATAGGAGAGAATGGAGATGGCTTTTAGCTATCAGAAAACATGTCTTTCCAAATATCATATTGACATTATTTCAAAATACTTTAATCAACTCGTTGAAAACTAAACAATTAAAATTCACCTTAAAACGGAAATTGTGAATGATAGTAAAATTAAAATTGAACTTAACTTAACTCGATCATTATTTATTTTCACATTTACTTTTGACCTAAGAAGGATCTTGATGAACTCAGTTTACATAAAAAAGAGACAAAATTGCAAAAATGGTCCCTGTGGTATGCATTTTTTTGGGGTTTTAGTCCTAACCCCGACTTTTTTGGATTGGTGGTCCTTTTCGACTAGTTTGTATGTAAAATGGTCCCTGTAAAAATTGAAATGACTAAATTGCCCTCTTGATATATTTTTTATATTTTTCTATTTAATTTAATGTTTTATTAATAATAAAATGGGCCTCTCTCTCTCTCTCTCTCTCTCTCTCTCTCTCTCTCTCTTTCTCTCTCTCCATATTGAGTAAACAACAATTTTGTCTAACTTATGAAAATTTTGTGTCTTCTTCTTGTACCCAATCACCACCTCCATTGTGGTTGCTTTGACCATCGGACACCACCCAACACCACCTTCCAGTCGTGACCCACCACCACCGATACCCACCTTATACCCCTCTCTCTTTCTCGATTAAAAATCACCACCGAACACAGCCTTCATTCCTCCCTACCCTCCTTCTCATCGAGTTCAGCGGAAAAACGAGAAAACGAAGCAGCAGAAGCCGCCGGAGAAGCCCTTGCCACCATCGTCGCCGCTGCTGTGAACCACTGTCGTCGTCAGCTGTTGCTTCTGTCGGTCATCTCCGACCAGCCCTGTCACCTCTTGCGACCCATGTATGTTCGATTTTCCCCCTCATTATTTTCGTTTTCCTTTTTGATCGATCAACAGCCTTGGATGAGGAAGAATTGGTCTCTGATTTCGATTATACCTCCTCTGATGTAGTCTACGATGTCGTCTACTGATGTTATTGTTGTTAGGCTACTTTGTGAGGACCCCATTTTGCCTTCGTTATCTGTGCATAACCAAGATCTGATTTTGCCTTTGAATTCAAAGTTACAAGGGGTTTGTTGTTAAGAACCAGAAGTTGGTTTGTGGAGTTAAAGTATTATCCATGAGTAGTACCCAGTTAAAAATCTTGGATTCATCTAATCAATTTGATTGAGGCCTTCATCATTTTTGTTTTATGAACATAATTAATGTTTTGGGGCTGCAATCATGTTCTTTGGTTGGAGAAGATGAACTGGGAAATGGTTTCGTACAGAGAGAGAGAGAGAGAGAGAGAGAGAGAGAGAGAGAGAGAGAGAGAGAGAGAGAGAGAGAGATCCTTTATTATTTTTTAATTGTTAAAATAGTTAAATAAATTGTATTAGATTTTGAAATAATGAAAGAAAATGAAAAATAAATACCCCAAGGGTATTATAGTCATTTCAATTTTCACAGGGACCATTTTCACATACAAACTAGTCCAAAAGGACCATTAATCCAAAAAAGTCGAGGTCTGGACTAAAACACCAAAAAAATGCATATCACGGGGACCATTTTTGCAGTTTTGTCTAAAAAAAAGATCACGATGAACGAGCTTGAAATATGTGATAGGTCGTTGAGAAAATGTTAAATGGCTTATAAAAAAGCTAACTGGATTTATTAGAAAAGGGGCCTCTATGAAGTTTCAACTAAAAAAGGACAAATCTAGTACTTCAGCTTTAAGATTTGCATGTAATAACTTAAAAAGTAAAAAACAATTATGTTTGAAATTAGCCCTTAGTACTATTATACAAAAATAAGTTAATTTATTGTAACTAGAAAGGTTACCCCCGCTATACGGGGGCCAAAAACTTTCAATGTTGTTTCCGAATTGATAAATATGACAGACATAGAAAGTGCAAGGATGAAAAGTCCGAATTGATAAATATGACAGACATAGAAAGTGCAAGGATGAAAAGTCCGGGCTTTGCCCCGGACAAAAAATGTAAAAGTTTTGACTGCAAGGACCAGAAGTGTGAAAATGGTTAAAGAATTAAAGGGGTAGGAATTAGCAACTTTTTAGAAAAGGGATCAAAATTGTCAAACCGTTAAAGTTTTGTGGCCAAACTTTAAATATTAAAAGGTTCCAAAAAAGTGTAAAAATATTGATTGCAAGGACCAAAAGTGTCAAAATGGATAAAGAATAATGAGCAAAGTTGCCAAAAAACATCCAAATTTAGTATTCCTAACTTCCAACAATAATACAGGGACCAATTCTGCCAAAAAATGAGAAGTTGAATGGAACACAAACAAAAGAACATGAATAAAGTAATTAAAGAAGTACAGGGACCGGATATGTAAATCAAGGGACCAAACCTAAACAAAGTATGTCAACTTCACTATTCATTTCTTCCACAACTTTAATATATATATATAATAATTAAACTTTTATAAATTATAAAAATAATTTATGATTGTTTATTAATAAAATAGCTTATAAACTAAAATCTAGTCTTTCATAGTAAAATAGTTTATTATATAGTCCGCGGCAAATACTATTAAAAAATATATATACTCTAACTTTTTTTTTTATTGTGAAATTGATTTTCAAAATGTGAAATTATTATTCATAATACAAAATTCTTCATATTTACGAAAATCAAATTCTCTATTTCTAAAATGAAAACAACTTTTTTCGTAGCAGCAAGAAAATTCGTAGCTCGAACATGAAATGTTAGGTTGAAACAAAATTTTCAAAAAAAAAATTATTCTCAAAATGAAGAATTTTTTTTTTAAAAAAAGTCCTTAAACATAAGACTAATTTTAGCAAATAGTGCATTTATAGTAGAATTGCACATAGGTGATTATTTTATATAAGAATTTCTTTTACCTATTTTACGATAAATCTTAAGATAAGGTGACTAGATTCACTTTTCTTCTCCGATATATCAACTTTCAATATATGCTAAATATAAAAGTAAAATCGATCATTAAGATTTTGTGTTTTTCAAAACTTAAAATAAACAATAATTTACGAAAAAAAAAATTATTCCTTACTATATTTGATTATATAAATATAAATTCATATTTGCATTTTTAAATAAAATAATGAAGGTTACGATTTCTCACATTTTTAACTGAATTAAAAGAAATAACGAGATCATAAAATTAATTTTCGATTTTATATTTCAGAACGATATATACAGAGGAAATTGAAGTAATTTCAGTATGAGTTTAATTCATCGGAATAACAATATGCGGTGGTTTCAGCGGTGGTTCCGTAACAACTTCCACCGTGATTTTCTCTTCTCGCGGCGGTTTACACGGAGACGGCAATGCTATAAACTTCGCGATCCGATCTCCCGGCATTATCACCGGTAAACTCTGTTTCTCTAATTTATCCTTTTCCTGTTCACCAAACACAAACACATTAGAAAAATGCAACAACAATGGCTGATAATTCAAATTAGTTAAACGAATCGAGTCAATTAAATTACCGCGAATGTAGGATTTGGTTTGGAAGGAGAGTCATCGGAATCAGCTTCGGCTTCGGCCATCGATCCTCGGAGATGGCGGAGCTTGTCCCAATGGTAACAACATGAGAAGAAACCGCTGAGGCTGAATATGATGATTAACAGTAAGGCGGTGCCGAGAGGAAACCCTAACGTCGGACGAGATGAATCGGAATGGTGTTGCGGTGGTTCGTAGTAGGGAGGAGTAGGACTCTCCACCAATCTGAGTACAACTTCCATAGCTTCTGGTACAACTTACAAGGTAAGAATAAGTACAACAATGGTGACTTGATGATGATGATGATGATGATGATGATGATCGTGTTAGATGTTTGATCGGAGGCTCACGGTGGTCGGAAGAGAGAAGATCGGAGAAACGATGTAGATAGTGGGAGTTGGAAGGGGAAATTTATAGGGATTTGAGGGTGTTAGTGGGTGCATGCGTGTAAAGGGGGCTGCAATTTGTCACGTCCGGTGGAATGTACGGACGGCGGAGGAAGGATTGGTAGTGGAGGTAGGTTTAACATTCTCACTCTTTATAAGATTATTATTTTATTTTATTATTTTTATTCTCTGCATAAAATCTGTTTTTTGTTTAAAAATAAATATAGTAAATCCATGTTTCGTATTATTTGTGATTTGATTTATAAAAAAATAATTAAGTTACTGAAACATGGTTTAATTTAATGTTTAATTTATAATAGGTATAAGGTTTTTTTTTTGTAATTAAGTTATATATAAAATTATAAATAAAATGGCTAAATATATCTCTAAATATTATTAAAAGAGAACCTTTAATTCACCAATGAAGCAATCAAGGTCCTTGATTGTATTTCAATCATATGATTTCCACCGTTAGATCAAATTGATGACATCATTTTTTCCAAATAGAATTCAAACGTTTAATTATAGAATCTTTAAATTTACCAATTACATTTCAAACACAATTACATTAAATTATAGAATCTATTCATATTTAATTATAGAATCTATTCATAATTTCTAAAATATATTTCACAATTCGGGCACAATTACATTTAATTATAGAATCTTTAAAATTAGTAATTATATTATTAATTGAATCATATCATTCTATTTATATATGAGGCATCAGTTTCTCCATAAATCTAGCCAAAAACATGAATAGTCGCCCCCATCTTTCTCCTCTATTTTTTCTCTTAAACCAGAATTCCCTGATCCTCTTCTTCCTCATGTCAATGGTTGTGCTTCAATTGATGCTTTGTGTGTTTATAACAGAATGTCGCACTATGAGGTGGTTCCTTTTTGCTCATGTATTCTTAGAATTTGCGTAGCATTTCCAATTATCACACCTCTGTTTTGGCTTCACACAAATCCCTACAAACTGAAGCAAGCATCTCCTTCAAGACATCTTTTGACGATCTATGACATCATTAACCCTAATTAATATTGTTCATAATTTAATTCAATTATTTATAGTTTTTGGCTTCAAAATTCAAATCTGCTTAGTTTTTTCTTTTTAAAAAAAACTCATTAAATAAGCATATAAATAATTATGTTATCTTTAATATATATTAAAACAAAAATCTTATGATATCATCTGAAACAATCTTGGTCATTGATTGTATTTCAATCTTATGTTTTCCACCCTTAGATCAAATTGGTGACATCATCTTCCCCAAATGGAATGTATTTAATTCCAATAAAAGCTTTCCAATTGTCAAACAAAATTAGCTTAAATCCATTGAAATAGAATGTATTTAATTTTAATTAAATTTTTTCATATTTTAAATCTTGAATTTCCGGTTATAAAGGTTTTAAAATAGTCAACTTTAAAAACATATTACTGAAAACCATTTCAATTAAGGCATTAAATATCAACCATTAATATAAATCCGTTTATATTAGCAAACCATTAATATAAAATCCATTTTATTAGGAAACCATTGATACCAAAAAATCAGATTCAAATTATCACATACATATACGATTCATCATTGAATTTGCGGCTCACATTTATTTTCGATCGTTGCTTTTCTTCAAACCTTCTCCTACAACATCATTCTTATTGTTTATCACTTTCATCATCATTCTCTGCTTCAAACCTTTATTGTTGTGCACTAGAAGGTCAGTACCTTCTTTCGCTTTTTTATATTTTTTTCGATTATTTTTTGTTCCTGTATCAAATATATGTATTCATATATATTTTGATATTCTTTGTCACAGCTTACATGAAATCGATTAACTACTTTTCTGAAACTTTTCAAAGAAATAAGAAAATATATTACGTACCTTTAATCTAGAAAAAAAAATATACTACATTAAATTATAGAATCTATTCATATTTAATTATAGAATCTATTCATAATTTCTAAAATATATTTCACAATTCGGGCACAATTACATTTAATTATAGAATCTTTAAAATTAGTAATTATATTATTAATTGAATCATATCATTCTATTTATATATGAGGCATCAGTTTCTCCATAAATCTAGCCAAAAACATGAATAGTCGCCCCCATCTTTCTCCTCTATTTTTTCTCTTAAACCAGAATTCCCTGATCCTCTTCTTCCTCATGTCAATGGTTGTGCTTCAATTGATGCTTTGTGTGTTTATAACAGAATGTCGCACCATGAGGTGGTTCCTTTTTGCTCATGTATTCTTAGAATTTGCGTAGCATTTCCAATTATCACACCTCTGTTTTGGCTTCACACAAATCCCTACAAACTGAAGCAAGCATCTCCTTCAAGACATCTTTTGACGATCTATGACATCATTAACCCTAATTAATATTGTTCATAATTTAATTCAATTATTTATAGTTTTTGGCTTCAAAATTCAAATCTGCTTAGTTTTTTCTTTTTAAAAAAAACTCATTAAATAAGCATATAAATAATTATGTTATCTTTAATATATATTAAAACAAAAATCTTATGATATCATCTGAAACAATCTTGGTCATTGATTGTATTTCAATCTTATGTTTTCCACCCTTAGATCAAATTGGTGACATCATCTTCCCCAAATGGAATGTATTTAATTCCAATAAAAGCTTTCCAATTGTCAAACAAAATTAGCTTAAATCCATTGAAATAGAATGTATTTAATTTTAATTAAATTTTTTCATATTTTAAATCTTGAATTTCCGGTTATAAAGGTTTTAAAATAGTCAACTTTAAAAACATATTACTGAAAACCATTTCAATTAAGGCATTAAATATCAACCATTAATATAAATCCGTTTATATTAGCAAACCATTAATATAAAATCCATTTTATTAGGAAACCATTGATACCAAAAAATCAGATTCAAATTATCACATACATATACGATTCATCATTGAATTTGCGGCTCACATTTATTTTCGATCGTTGCTTTTCTTCAAACCTTCTCCTACAACATCATTCTTATTGTTTATCACTTTCATCATCATTCTCTGCTTCAAACCTTTATTGTTGTGCACTAGAAGGTCAGTACCTTCTTTCGCTTTTTTATATTTTTTTCGATTATTTTTTGTTCCTGTATCAAATATATGTATTCATATATATTTTGATATTCTTTGTCACAGCTTACATGAAATCGATTAACTACTTTTCTGAAACTTTTCAAAGAAATAAGAAAATATATTACGTACCTTTAATCTAGAAAAAAAAATATACTCTGATGGAAACCAGTTAAAACACAATATAGCAAAGTACTTTGATAGAATGGCAAATGCACCCTACCCATTTTCCTGTTCATGGTAATCAATTTTTTTGTGTATTCTTTTAGCATGATACTTCCATTTTTTATCCGAAGGGTAAATCATTAATTTAGTATGTATAATGTTCATCAGAAGGGTAAATCAGTAATTTAATTTAAACATTGATCAAATTGTGAGCTGCTACTATTTCTGTTTGTTTAATAATCTCAACCTGGTTACTGTTTTTGATTGTATATAATATCTTAAATTGTTGGCTGAATTACAGGGATTGTAATCTTGATATAGAACTCATATAATCTATTAAGATAAATATATGGTAATATCGAATGGAAAATGAAGGATAAGGGTATAATAGGAATAAAGAGATATTTTTTTAGTGTTTGAATGTAAATTAATATCCTAATATGATGGTTGAATTACAACATTTCTAACTTTAAATTGAAATCATAATCGAAGGTTATTGATATTCTTGGATGGATTTTTTTAAAATGTTAAGTACGATTTTAAGGTTTGGGGGCAGAAAGGTATATTTATTTGTGATAGAATAAAGAAGGAATATTCGAATTTACCTTTTTGAAGGTATCAATAAACTCCTAAAATTATGTGATTTATTTTAATTTAATTGCAAATTAGATGCAGAAAACCTTTAAGTAAGGAAACATAAGGGCAAAAGGGTAATTCAACTTAGGAAACTAGAAAAGCATTGGGCCGGAAAAGAAATTCAACACTAGATATTGAGATGACACGTATACTAAAATGATTCTTTTAGCATGATACTTCCATTTTTTATCTGAAGGCTAAATCATTAATTTAGTATGGACTATGTTCATCAGAAGGGTAAATTGGTAATTTAATTTAAAAATGGATCGAATCGGTTGTTGCTACTATTTATGTTTGTTTGATTAACTCAACTTAGTTACTGTTTCTGACCTTATTGTCGAATATAATAACTTCATATTATACCATTTTTAGGAATGTACGTGTAAAGTACATTACGATAACAATTTTAACAGTAACTTGTTGTGATTTTTTCGTGTTGTAAATGCCTTTTAATTTATCTTTTATTCACTATTAAGGAGATGGATTTTATAAACAATTTAATCCAGAAAGGGTTAAACTATAATTATTCTAATTTGTATATGTTTCTGTACAGTAAATACAAATTTCAAAGATTGTTTTCTATGACTAACAAAATTATGTTTCTATTTTTGGAATCTCATATAACATCATTCAGTCTAGATTAAGTCAAAGAAAACAAAAATGTATAATATTTCATATTAAATTCTTAACCTATTAACTTGGACTCGATACTCAACAACCTCTACAAACTGCAATAGCTATATGATTTTTTTACAATTTATAGCAACATACTTACCATGAAAAAAGAACTTTTAATTTAAACTACAACTTAGTTTTTTATCGGTAACAACAATATACAACACTTAATATCAACATCATTGCCTACCGGTTTCTCTAAATATTAATACATGAACCATATCAAAAGTAGGCTAAGAAGTTAGAATCTAAACTAGGAATGATCTTATTTCCTTGAATATCATATTTACGGTATTATAGAATTTTTTTATGACAAAATTGCAAAAATGGTCCTTGTGGTATGCATTTTCTTGGGTTTTAGTCCAAACCCCGACTTTTTTGGATTGATAGTCCTTTTGGACTAGTTTGTATGT